ATTGGAAGCAAACCCTCCTACAATTTCATCTTTCCTTACTCCTCCTCACCCCAACAATCTGTTCTGTAGACACACTTAATGATTTGAAATTTCCAGAACAGGCCTCTCTTGTCTGGGGGCCTTTTTGTACATGCATCTTTCTGTGTCCCCAGCCTCGACCCAAGGATCTCCTACTCGTTCTTTAGGATTCAGCATAGATATCATCTCTTTGGGAGAATTTTCAGTTGGGATTGATTCAAACCATAGAAACTTCCTTGTACTCACAAGATGGAAAAAGGGGGATTTAAGGCAAAAGTACAAAGGTATCGTCAGGGAACCCAAAGATAGAGACCCAACTAGGCTGCAGGAACCAACTACAACCTGGCACTGCATTTCACTGGAGTCTGGACCTCTTGTGCCTGTCCTGGGCCGTTCTCCCACACTCAGAAGCCTGGCTTCCCTCCCAGAGTAGTGGAGCAGGGTTGTTGCTCTCCAATGACTTCTCTTCCTTCCCCTCCGGTTTCCTTTGAGGGTGAGATTGCACCTTTCATTGACGTCCTCATCCCCAGATCTTAGCAGGGTGCCCAACACAGTGGTGGAAAAGGGAGACAAGTGAACTGGCCCCTACCACACAGCCCAGCAGGAGTTGGAACAGACATTTCCAAGGTGTGACAGGTGATGCAGAGAGGACCCACCTCCCTATCTGGGTAGTCACAAAGCTTCAGGAAAGAGACACCCCAATGTGTTGCTTGTCCTCCGGGCTTCCAAAGAAAAGTCCCATTAACTGTAGAGAATCCCTTAAAGACCCTCTCAACCCTCTGGGTCTCCATTGAAGAAAAAAATACCTCGTGTATTTCTGCACATCCTTTGAAAAGAGAGGAAAGGATTTAAAAAAAAAAATCACAGAACTGGAAACTTGTCCATCTGTTTCTCTAACATTTCAGCCTTTTGAGAATCCTGTCAGTTTCTCTTTCCCATCTTGGGGACCTTTGACCATTTTCTTCCCTCAGCTGAAAGTGTTTTCCTCACCCTCTTCCCCCTGACTAATCTTTACACAGCCGGGAAGTTTCAACTTCAGTGTCACTTTCTGGAAAGGGAGGCGGCTGCCCTCTCCCCCTCAGTTAGGACAAGCCTGGTTGCCCCACCCTGCCACCACCGCAGGCTGCTCTCCTTCCCCTTTCGGAACACCCTACTCCCTGCCATTCCCTGGTTAATGGCTGCCGCCCCCTGCAGGCTGTCATCTACCACGTCAGGGAGCACATGGTTTTATTCCTGCCTATTCACAGGGGGAGGAAGAGAGCCTGGCATCCGTGAGGTGGGCAAAAATACATGTGACTTACACTGGATTTCAATAACGAGTGCAACTTCCTCATTTCGGAGAGAAAAACCAAGGCATAGAGTTGGGGAAGTGAATTTGCTAGTGGTCTCAAGTTAGTGGCAGGACCTGACAACCCTGGATAGCTCTCCTCTGTTTGCTTTTTTTACCCTTCCAGAGGACTATGACAGTCAATGCAGGCATCGTTTTTGTTTTGATATTATCTGAGCTTCTGTTTCTTTCAAATATGCACAAAGATGGAACTCTAGCAGGAACATTGATCCCCCTCTCTCTTATTTATTTATTTTTTTTGTAGTTGTAGATGGACAGTATGCCTTTATTTTAATTATTTTTATGTGGTGCTAAGGATCAACCCAGTGCCTCACACGTGCTAGGCAAGACCTCTGCTACTGAGCTCCAGCTCCAGCCTGATCGCCCCTCTCTTGTGTGTGTGTGTGTGTGTGTGTGTAGGGGGGGTCCTCACTATGTTCCCCAGGCTGGCCTCAAACTCTCAGACTCAGGCATTCTCCTACCTCAGTCTTGAAAGTACTTAGAACTACAGGTGGGTAACATTGCTCTGGCTACTTTTATTTTTTGTTAGTCAGAGTCTGAGGATTGAAACCAGGGTGTCACACATTCTGGGCCAAAGTTCTATCCCTGAGCTATACCCCCAGCCCTCTTTATTTTTTATTTTGAGACAGGGTCTTGTTAACTGTCCAAGGCTGGCCTCAAACTTGCCATCCTGCTGCCTCAGCCTCATAAGTAGTTGGGACTACAGGCATGTGACATTGTGCCTGGCTCCAGGAACATTTGGATTCATAGAGAAAAACATGCTTTTTGAAGAGTGAAAAGTAGTCAGGTTTTTTTTCCTCCAATGTTTTAATATAAAAACTTTCAAACCTATATATTTGTATTAATAGGAAAATAACCCCATCTACACTTTATCTAGATTCATCAGTTGATAACATTTATACAGTACTGTTCTCTTTATATATATAT